CACGAATTCCACCTCCGTATCCACGCGCGTCTCCAAATCGATATTTAGAAAATTGCGTCGACTTTTCTCGATGATTGATTTCTTAGAACGGTGTACAACGAAATTTGACGTATCGCGCTCCACGTATTCGAGGCTTTACAGTATCCCGTTGATCAGTTTTGAGAGCAAAGCGCGAGAGACACGGTTCCAAGAACGAAGATCGATCGCAGCTTTTTATCGCGGACTAACCGTCTCCGCTTTATCTATCGGCTACTACCGTCAGATACGAGAAACGCGAACGTCGTTCGATGTGCAACGCGATTCGCGACATGGGCACGCCAAACGTTCGTTCCGTCGCGGACGTAGCGATCGATCCACGGACCAAAGGTTCGCGCGAGCAAATAAAAATTCATTCGTAACGATGGATGTTTCTAGGTCGGCAGATACGCGCTGAGCGAATAACCACGTAGAATCAACGATCGATCAACGAAATACGATATTATAACTCGGTGACGATTTTTGCCCGATATCTTTCTCCTCTTTTCCTTGGTCAACGACGATCGGTCAACGCTTTTCGAGCTTCGTCGCCACCGACGATCCGAGAAGCATGCCGTGCCACCTGTAACGATAACTCAAACGTACTTTTGCCAAGTACGTACGCACCGCCATTGCCAACGTTTCACCATCGCTTTGGCGATCGAGCCAACGATCGTCCAACGATATCCGATACCTGCGTAGTTTCCGAATGATTTTTCTCGACATGAGACGCTCGTTGCCTCTTTAGCGTAGGAAGATACGTGTATCGCTCGATGATGCGTGTACGAAATACGCGGACTAATTTTAGGTATTCCAACTCGAGAATCTAGCGTCAGTGCCAGCAACAACGAGGTATTTACGATTTACGTATAGTACGCCGGCTATACGTTAATAAGTATCTAGTTTCTTTCGTCGAGAAATCTGCGAGTTTGCGGAACTCGGCAGGATCGCGTGACCGCTTTCGTCGTTATTCCTTCTGTGTCGCGAAACGATTTTCGGATACCGTCGATCGACTCCGCTCCGATATAGCAGCTGTACACGGTGCGATTTACCGTTCGGGCGAAACGCGAGCGGAAACAAGTCTGTATCTCGGTGGAAAACTTGAGGCGAAAGAGAGAGAGAGAGAGAGAGAACAGCGAGCAAGATATGCAGCGTAGTTCTTAGGAAAAACTCGCGCACTCTTGGATAACGACTGACAGTGTCAGAGGTCTCGATCAGCACTCGTCGAACGTACGACAATAACGTCATATTACGAAAGTTTTTCAAATATCGATGGCTTTTCCGAAATTATCGGTAGAACGCGAAGGGACGAATAGTTTTGGCCCGGAATATAAGAAACGAGTAAATCTTTTCTATTCTAAATTTCAAAGAAGTTGCTAATCTGCCAGGTACGAACGACAAAACGAGGGAAAAGATTGTTTAATCGATTATATCGTTTAATTATTCGCCTGGATGAAAAGTTGGAATTATTCGGAGGATCGTGTTACCAGAAATCAACGCGTTTACCTATATCTGTTCTCGTCGATTTGTACAATCGGACAGCAGCTAGCCGGTAGCTAATACGTCTGACAGACGCATTAAAAATAGACGTTGCATCAGGCAGCCGTGTAGCGTCGAACAACCGTGTTCGAGCAGCGGTCATGTAAATATTGTGTCACGACAGGCCATTTCTTACGGGTTTTCGTATAAATGAATCTTATTAGCGCGTTACGTCGCGATAGAGAACCGATACAGACTGCGTCATCGACGTATTTAGGTACTGTTACACGCTAGCACGATTTATCTCCCGTATCGAGCAATTACCTCCTCCTCCGGCATCCTCTTCTTCTCTCGTACATCGTCGATTTTTGTAACAAAGCAAGTTTGCGCAACCACGTTGCGCTTTTCTTTCATTTTTACGCAGTTCGAGTAACGATACGGTGGAATTCGAAATAACGTTATTCGCCGTAATTTGTTCCATCGATTTGATATCGATCGTACGTTGGATACTAGATGACCGTAGAAAAGTAACCAACGCTAATTAAGAATAATTATACTTTATTACGCGTTCTTAGATCGCGCGTCGTTTCCGAGTACCGATCGAGATGGAAACGTGAAAAGCGAACAATACCTCTGTACGCCGCGTTAGGTAAAAGTAAGGGAACGTCGCGTCGTTGGAACAACCGCGTATAATCGCGTAAGCATCGGACAACGGCGTTCTCCGGCATCCAAAGACGCGGAAGAAAGTTTCCCGAAAGACTTTTACTCGCTTGGAACGTCGCGCCGCATCGCCAACACGTCGTCGAGTCGTTCTCTTTCATCCGTAAGTAGATTACTTCGGTTGCAACGACCTCGGGCACTCGTATCGCGGTAAATAAAGTACGCAATTACGATTCTCTCTCCAACTTACATGGTATATTTTTATTTCCGTGGCTGACGATTAGATGCTCGAACATTTACGTAACATCGAACTTGGCCTTTCGTCTTGTTTTTCGCACGAGTATTCGAACCTAATCGGAAAGAAGCTAACGAACACCTAAACGCAACTCCGTCGTCGATCGCAACGTTCGTTCTGGACGCGTACGACAACTTTGATCGATTAATTCGTTTTACTTCGCCGAGAAGAATCGAGCCGCGACGCTCCTACTCGATCGAACGATCTTCCGCTCCTTTGACGTAAAATTTCCTTGGCGTATCGAAGCGGTTTGAAAGGCCAAGCGACAACGTACACGTTTACGTACAGATCTAAAGGACCAAGCGGTATTTTAATGGGCAGAGGCGTTGCACACGCGTATGCGCACAAACGGATACGCTTCAAGTACCTCTATGGGTTCGGCGTGGAAAAATGCAAGTGCAGAATACGTCTGACCGCACCCGCGAGCAGCAACGCTCGCTCGAGAGGGTGGGCGAGGTTGGTCACGCTAATTGCGTTACGCGCACCGAGTTAACGAGCTGCGTTTCGGCTCGACCCGAGGCTATGTCGAGACGATGTCGAGGCGATGTCGAGGCTCCGTGCGACGCGGTGCTCTCGTTCTTGGACCAATTCGATGTGCCCGCGCGTTCTCCGCCTGCCAACGAACCAAATAACCCGGCCTTAACCTTGCGAGAAGTCGAGGAAGGTCTGGCAAATCGAACGCCTCGTCGATACGCGTCGTTACGCAACTCGTTTCATCGATCGAAGATGCCGCTAGACGGCGCGAATATCCATCGATCTGTATCGCTCTACGGATCGTTCGAATCGGATACGTATTTCTCGTCCCATTCGAGAGAAATAATCGACATGGATTACAAAATATCCACCCCTTTGTCACACCGTTGCCACTTTCTAAAATCGTATACGCTGAATTTCTCGCTGCTCTTGTTTCCCTTACGCGGTAAAACGGCGTCGACCGCGACGCTACAGCTTGCGCGGACAAGAGCTGTTTCGTTGGAACAACTGGTGCAAGAAAGCGAAGACTCGCAGGCCATCGGCAGGGAATTAGCCTGCTACGATCTCGAGGTAGCACGCTCTTTTCTTCC